TCAGGTTATAAATTGCTTGTGGCCATATATTCATTCATGGTTTGCATGATCTCAATATATACAAAAAAAAAAAAAAATTGATCTCAATGTATGTTTGTAAAGTGAAAAAAAAAAGAAAAAAGTATGTTTGTTGCGGAATGCGGATCCAAGGCTCGTTCTGATATATTAAGACTTTTGTAGGGCAACAAGAAACGGTCTCTTACCAATTATAAATTATCTTTGTAATAGTGAATATGTGATTTTTAATGAATTGATTTATATACGAAAGAACGAAGAAGTATTATAAAATAGAAAAATTTGATTGATTGTATGGGAATGGAAAGTTGAGTACGCATAATTCCCTTGTAGATGGCGAAAAGCTCACCAAACTCATAAATTGATTGCAAGACAGATAAATATTAAAGAATTTAAGAATGGATGGGGTTGGTGAGACGATAGTCATACCTCTCACCAATCTTATGGTAACTAAGGTTTATAACTTTTTATCATATAAATCATGGAAGCTACTATTTTATTCGATATTATTCGAGAGGTTTTGTAATATGTTATCGTATTCAGGTTTACTATCCAAATTGAGTGCGCATGAGAGAAAGCAAAATCACACTATATTCATGGCATGTTTAAAATGAAAATTTTCTGCTGCATTTGGGCAGCTTTCCAAACCATCAATCCACCTCACATGTAACTTTGTGTTCTTCTTCTATATATTCTTTTGGAAATTGAAGAGTATATATACTTTTTATCTAGATGTGGTTAATTCAATTTGGTTTAACTTTTAATTCCTTTGGTTAAGTTAAATCCAATATTAAATATGATATTGTGCTTTTGCAAATAAATAAGTTACGCTATTGTAGCCTTACTACTTCTAAATCTGAAATTGTACCAACAAAACTTCAATTTTTCTTCTCACAAAAATATGATTTTGAGAGGAAAATAGTTCGGGAATGACGTTTGAGAGGAAAATAGTTCGGGAATGACGTTTTGATGACTTGGAATAGAGGATGAAAGATGAAGCATATGTGACATCATCGGTCCAATCTCTGGTAAAAATTGCACTTTTCCATTTTATCCATATGCGGTAGGTAAACGTAAAACCAATGATAAGTAAAG